TATAATCAATGACATTATTTCAAAAATTTCAAAACTATCAGCCCAGATAAATGTAAATGTTTTCAACCAAATATCAAAGGACTGGGTGGGCTGGAGAAATGTAATTGCCAGATAAATATAAATCTCTTCAACCAAATATCAAAGGACTGGGTGGGCGGAGAAATGTAAAAGCGATAAATGTAAATCTCTTCGAATATCAAAGGACTGGGTGGGCTGGAGAAATGTAGAAAACTGAACATATGTCTGCCTCAGTCACTTCAACCACTTATATGAGGAAGTTATCACTTCAAGGCATACACTAAGCAATTAAAACCTACCAGACATTAGCTCATGATCCGCTATATGTAGTTAATGATGTGGAAAAACTACACACTTCTGTATAAATTTTACACAAGCTCATTGATAAAATAAGTCTTCTTGTTTTATTCTTTCTTGTGTTGTCCAATGCATCCCAAACCTTCCCTTAAGTATTCATGTTCATGTATCTAATGCTCACCCTAATGTGTTTAGGTCTTTTTACATCTTTTCAGTCTTGTAAGTCCCAGTGTGAGCACATACTATTTAGACAGCATTCTCTTGATGAGATGACCAACCCTCCCTCCCCCCCCCCCCAATCTCATCAGGTGCAATTCTAGTGTTAACTGTGTGTGTTGTTGTCTATCAAGATGATGATGACCACTCTTTTTCATCAAGTATGAGTACGAAGATGACCGATGCGGGCCATAAAAGTTCATGGACAGTGAGGACAGGGAATGAGCGTTGTGCCAGGGAGGAGATCTCCTGTAGTCGCCTTTCTGTCCATCCTTTCCTTAATAAGTCTTGCTGTTCTGTTTGCTTCACATGTAGCTGCACCCTTGTGTAGAGCTGCATGCCATGCATTTCGATCTTGAGAGGCAGCCTCCCAATTGATGTCATTTATCCCAAATGCTTTGAGTGAACACTTCAAGGTGTCCTTAAAGCGTTTCGTTTGCCCGCCTTGGGAACATTTCCCATTTTGCAACTCACCATAGAGGAGTTTTTTTGGGAGCCTGTGATCTGGCATGTGTGCCACATGACCAGCCCAATGAATCTGATACTGCATCAGAAGTGTTAAACTGACATAATGATGCATGGACAATGGATAAAAACCTTAAATACAAAACTGAAGTGCAAGATTGTAGTGAGATACACGGTGTAATGGGAAATGTAATCTGTGTATTTCAGAGGAAGGGATCCATTTTGTTTGCTTCATTATTTGTTGATGTAGCTCTGTAGTAATACACCTGATGAGAGACAGCGAAATATGCCAGGGAATAAACTGTGCAACATAAAAATATGCCAGGCAATAAATTGTGCAATGTAGCGTTTGTTTCCTCATTTTTCAAAATACATTCATTGCCTAATTTCTGTACTTCATTTACTACTGTTACAAATTATCCTTCGTTTATAACTGGTTTTCGCTTTGGTTTTTTAATGAATTTAAGATATGCCCAAATTGAAACAAGGCAAAAATCTAGAACAGATCAAGGTTAAAATAACATACAATCAATTAGAGAAGATCTGAATGGCTCCATTTGCTTGAACACCATTAACTTCATATAAGCTAGCAAAGCAGTCAAACACTGGCAGCTTTGAAAAGCTGCACTACTGGATAATGTGCCTACAAGTTGTTACTATCAGCAACCATTCTAGTTATTAACAAAAGCTTTTTAAAAATACAAATGTCCACAGCAGACTTTTTTGGAAAAAGGAAGGGTCTGTAGGCCTTAGCTAACAGGGAACCACAGCTCTATTCAATGAAAAAGCTAGTCTTTACCTTGCACTGATGCAGTAAAGGTATATGTAGTTATGTGCATCAAATATGCAGCTGCTGTGGCGTAATGGCAAAGAGCAGACATATGCTGACTCTGCAGTGCTGGATTCTGGTCCGTCTCAAGTTATCAGTTAAACCTCAATGATAGATAATAGTCAACTGTCCTTATACCACATCATCTACTGGACCTTAGGCACATGGTTCTTCTTCTGTATTCATTCCTAAAAGGGCGGTTAGCTATCTGCACTGCGGTTTATAGCTAGGCTATGATATATGCAGCGGCGTCCGTGGCTAAGGCGTTGCGAGTCCGACTCGCAAGCCAGCATACCGCGATCGAAACCCACTGCAGGCTGCGTGGATTTTTGTCGTGATATGGGACGTCGCAGGTCGACCCAGCCTAAAATGGGTACCAGGATGGGCTGTCCTGGGAAAGTAAAGACAACCGGCGTAATGCTGACCACATTACCCACAGAGTGCTGATGGTCTGTAAAAATATGGGACGCTCTGCCCATATGCCCGATGCGCCGAAAGGCGTGAAAAGGGAACTTTACTTTTTTTTTAATGATATATGCACCTTTCGGTCTAACATAACTGACTTCTTCAAATTCCTATTAGTCTTATTTTATGACAAGGCTTGTTGGGGGTAGGGGTGGGTGTGAGTCAATCCCATCTCCCCCCCCCCTTCCCACCAACTCCACATAGGGAGTCTGAGCAATGAAAAGGACTTGCATCTATCAGACCAAAGTAGCAGGATCTGTGTTGCTAATCTCTTCTTCATTCTCCAAGTGCAGAAACCAGTGGGTTTACATTTGTGGAGAAGCATGTCTGAGGAGGCTCTGTGTCATTTCATTGGGGAGGGGGGGGGAACAGATTAACTGCCCCTTTTAATACATGTCTTAAGACGCAACTAATTATGGATTTGAGGATGTGTTGGGCTGAGAAACCCAGACATTGTGCAGCCTATCTTTAAACTAAAACACAAAATGCCAACGAGTGAATGCAGAAGTAGGAGAAAAGGAGAGGTAGAGAAGAAGAAGCGGAGGAGAAAAATAAAAAAGAAGAAGCAGGTTACCAGATCATAATTCAGCACAGCACATACAGACTGACTGAGATGAGATCTAGACAGGAGATATTTCTGCCACAGATTTCAGGCCTCTTCTGGTTGTTCATCCACTCCTGGACTTTGGTCTTGATCCAGAACTTGAGTTCTGCATGCACATACTTTTGCAGATCTGGCTTATTTGTATGCAGACTGCTGGTTCCTTGCCTCTCAGGTAGATGCACTCTTGACTTTGAAGGAAACACTCCTAGTGAGTCCCTTTTACAACACGCTTGTTTGGGAAGCAGTGGGTCTATTCTCTTCTATCTAAAAACTGATGCCTTGACTTTTGCAAGCAAGGTGATGCAGCCACACTGGATAGATCAACGCTGAGAAAACATAAGATAACTAGAATGTCTTTTTTACTGGAACCTGACAAAGGCACAGAAATAAGGGGTGACCCCAAAAAAATCACACTGAGATGGGAGACTAAAGTTAAAAATATGCGAAAGAGATATGGTTTGCCGCATGCAACAGCAAAGGATAGGGCTACTTGGAGGTGGGCTGGTTTGGAGCCTATGCTCCATTAGGGAATAAAGAGCAGAAGAAGAAAGAAAGCCAGTGACAGTGACCACATTACCCAACCAGGGCTAGCTGGTATAAAAACAGGGTAGCACCATATCTGATACAGCACGTGGCAAGAAAAACAGCCCATCTTCTTTACTTTACTTGTGTGCATATGTGACATTATTACAAGCGCTTTCACAACTCCCAATTTCATATATAAAAATCTTTGTGTATGCATGTCATATACATATATTGCTGACATTTTAATTATTAAAAAAATTTGTAATTTTATGAACTCTAGACACCATTCTGAAATAAGTTTAACTACCCACTAGTAACACAATTTTTGTTTCTCCAAGCTGTGCTGGCGTGGTGGGTAATGAACAGGCAGACAGACTGGCTGGATCTGCACCACTGGGTGGTGAATTTATACATGACAAGGCAGATGTGGTCAAGGCCCTTTGGGAACAAGCAACGAAATCAGTAGAGAAAGAGGATTATTATGGCCTGGTGAGAATGAGGCACTTGGGTGCAACCAGAGGGTCTGGCCGGTTCACTACACTCAGAGGAAAGACAAGATGGACATATAACCAGATTGTGACTGGTACCATCAGTATTGGAACTCTACGCTGGCTGCTGAAGATGAGGACGGAGCATACATACGAATGTCCCGAATGGAGTGATGTCAATTCTTGACTCAACTTAACCTAACTATTAACACAAAATAGTTGTTTAATTAAGTCATGCAAATACGTTTTCATGTGTAAAATATTTTTAATTCAACCAAAAATGTCTGAAAAATATTTTACATTCAACCTTATAAATTAATTTTTGTGTGTAAAATATTGTAAATTCGGTCTTACAAATGTGTGTATTTTGTGTAAAATAATTTTCAGTTTTTAAAAAGATACTACTTTTAGTTAACTATACTAAATAAACACAATGTGTGGTAAAATTAAAAGATATTTTAAGTAACTTTTTTATTTAATATGGCATAATTTGCAGTTGGATAAAAAACAAAACAATGCCTCTGTTCCCTAGTGTTAAAATAACAACAATCAATTTTTTTTTTAACTAAACAAATCTTAATCTCTGCCAGAGGAAATCCTACTTCACAAAAATAGGTGCTGTTAAAAAAATTACGACCTGCCACAGGCACCTCCCTTCAACTCAGAGCATTGCCTATAATTTCTTCTGTGTTCGTTCCCGCGGTGGTTTTTAAGAGGAATCACTGAATGAAAGGGCACCACGGATCAATCAATATTAAGGGCAGCCATTCCAGAAGGAGGAGAAAATGACATCATTTCAAGGGAGCTAGTCAGAGAATTCCAATCACTATTTTTACTGTCACATGTAGTACAACCTTGTCCCTTCTACATCTGCTCTACCGTTTTCACATAAACAAAAAAAAATGGTTATAGAAAGCCCAACAGTAACTAACAGGTCTGGGGTTTTTAAATAATAATAACTGCTCACAGACTTAGGACTTCTTTTAATATTCAAAATGAAAATGGGATGAGCATTGAATTAGCAGAATTAACAACTCGGTTGCGTCACAGACACAAATTATGTACACACAGTAAAATGGTAATTTTTTTTTACCTGAGGTGTTGTTTGCTGCAGCTGTTTTTGCATAATTTCCCTGTCTTTATTTGCTTCAATCAGCTTGGCCTCTGCCAATTCCAGCGCTTCCTGCTTCTCTCGCAGACTCTCCATCAACTTATCTCGCTCATCCAACATATTCACCATCAGCTGCTCGAAGTTCGAGTCGTCCCCGGAGCCCTGCGACTCCCGGTCGTTCGACCCATCTTCAGAAATCGTCGGCATCACGTCGCACATCATCTTGAAGGGTTTCTACAGGCACGGCCGGGGGGTTATATATCCAAAGATTCAAGAACGATCGCAATAAATTCTAACTAACACAAGTCACAAGAATCATGGCAATCAATCTCAAACACCGGTTCTTTCCCCGACCGGTTTACATATTGGTAGGCACTGGGTGAGCTTGGCTAATATCCTGATAAGTATATTTACATTTCGCCTAGCATCGATGGTTGTCATTCATCCATGTTTCTACGCGATAACTCCCAGGGACGTAAAACAATCGACGGTTTCAGGCCCGACAACAAACAGAAGTGGCCATGTTTCTCGTACGTAAAGTGTGTCATACCCACAATGCCATACAAATGGGGGAGATAACTCCTTGCAGACTGTCCATAAGTGGGCGTCGGTCTGTCTGTCTGGTCATCTGTATTCAACAGGCTAACTAGCGCCTCCAATGTCTCTCATTTTATTTCTCTAAAAACTACAAAAAGAAGACAGTCTGCCACTTAAAATTTTACTTTGATTTTGAGTGTAAATAATCAGGCCCAGTTGGTCAGAGATGACGCACTGCTGGTTTAAAGTATATCATAATGGCAGCGATAACTGCCCACATAGAAATCGATTGTACAGGGTGGGAGGAACAAAACCGCTAGCGTGTAAAACTGAAGATGTGTGGAATAAATGATAATGAGGCGCGCCGTTGTTATTTTTAATCAATCTGTAGTCAGAAAATAGCATTTGGTATTTTCATTAGTGTTTTCAGCATCTAACTGTTTGTTCCTTTATTATTTCCATGATTATTGTTAAAAAAAAAAGATTAAGGGCAAAATAATAATAACCTAAATGGCTTTGACTAGTCCCTCTATAGATAACACAATCGGATTATCACAACTGTTTAAAGTACACTTAATAAATATATATTTAACACTTTTACTTAAAAAAATTATATAGTTAACACACAATGCGTTCCAAACGTATTATTCTGCCCACTAACCCCCTTCCCCTCCCCCCACCCCCCTTTTTTCCATGCGGAAAAGTGACCGTGTCTCCGTATACCTATATAATGTTAGATAATAGAACAAGCTAAGGGTGATGGAACCAGTCGAAGTAAAGGACCTTATTCCTCGCCTTCAGGCGTGTGGGGTACATAGATCTAGACCTATATTTAATTTACAAAATGGCACTTGGTGGGTAATGTGCTCAGCATCACGCCGACCGCCTTTATTCCCAGGACTGTACCGGGTACCCACTCAAAGCTGGGTTGACCTGGGAGCTAAGGTTATTTTTGAGGGAAAAAAAGGCCAGCCCCTAACAGAACCCAAGATTTTCTGATCCTAAGGCGAGCGTTTAGCCGCTAGACCACGGCGTCGAAAAATGAGTGCAGACAACCTCGAGTGTTGTCCCAATATGGCTAACATATATACGTTTTTCTTCCGTGTGTCACCGGGGCCCTCACGGGAAGCAAAGAATTATGACACTGCACCCTTTCAGGCATATCGTAAGAGGCGACTAAGGGTGGGGTTGGCTTGAGGTCGGCTACCTCATCCTGAAGAAACAATAGCCACAAAAACCAACCAACCCAAACCACGTCCAACTTGAGATATTAATAGCTCGTCAGACGTGCCCAAACCCACACCTTTCGATCCGCAGGCGAGCATCTGTCTGCTAGAGCACGGTGGCTCCCATCCAGGGAAGTATCAGCCACAGAAGCTGCCACAAATATAATAGTCAAAGTCCCATGGAAAGCAGCCATTACCATACGTCAGTTGAACGTGGTCATCTTTAAGGCGATGCTAACCTTTTTAAACTGAATTGTATATTAATAATTTCTATGTTCTGGTTTGGTATAGGGTTTTATATTGATAGGTCTAAAACCATCATTTTTTTATGTACTGTCTCAGTTGTTTGTATATTTATACATTTATAGCCTTTTACCCTTTACACAAGTACAACACGTTTTTGTGATATCACTAACAATTGGAATTGGATCGCTTCGCTTGCTGCTGAAGATGCGGACATAGCGCTTATGGGAGTGTTCCGAGTGCTGTGATTTCGATCCTCGATTCAACATTTGACTTCTTGGGCAGTGTTACGAATGTATGATTTCAGGTCCTTTGTAATGTAACCAGTGTTAAATATCATTATGTAGTTCATTGAAGGTATCAATTCAAAAGCTGGATACTGATTTTACGCTATCCGTTGTTATTTTGTGAGGGCCAATGGCTTTCCAAGCTTCATATATTTTATAACCGTCTCATTTCAGCCTTGATATGTTTAGCCCGCCCTGAATACAGAACTTAAGATCTTCAACTCTTGTATGACCCCAGTGCTAACTTATGAATGCATGAGTTGGAAAGCAGCGGTAGTTCTAGACAAAGAATTAGACAGTTTTGAGAACAGATATCTTAGACGAATACTAAATCTCCATTATAGTCTGATGTCAGATCCAAACCGCAAATAAGACAAAAGACCAAACAAGATCATATATCAAATTTTATAAGAAACCGCCCCTGGAACTTCATCGGCCATGCGCTCAGAATGGATAAGACCAGACTTTCCTATCAAGCCCTCATATGGACACCGGAAGGGAGGGGGGGGGGGCAGGGAAGACCAAGAAAAGCCCTGCACAGAACCATTATCAGGGAAGGTTCAACCATGGGCCTAACAAACATTCAAGACATGAAGCAGGTGACAACGAACCGCCAGACATGTAGAGCTATGACCTCTGCCCCGCCCTAGGCTCAAGAGGCAAGACTAACTACACTAACGAGCTAGCTAACTAACTAAATTAACTAACTAAACTAACTAACTAACTAAACTAACTAAACTAACTAAACTAACTAACTAAACTAACTAACTAACTAACTAAACTAACTAACTAAACTAACTAACTAAACTAACTAACTAAACTAACTAAACTAAACTAACTAAACTAAACTAACTAAACTAAACTTAACTAACTGACTGACTGACTGACTAACTAACTAACTAACTAACTGAACTAACTATACTGAGCTAACTAAACTAACTAACTAACTGAGTAACTAACTAGCTAGTATAATTGTGCTATATAGCTATGCGATTGAAATGGTTTTTCTGGATTTGGGCCCGTATGTTTCTTATCCGTAAGATGTTAACTCAACGGAATGTAAATCGTCTTGCCTACTGGTGTAGGCGATCATGCCACTCCATCAGCAAATGCGCGTATCTGTCTGTGGGTTGTCGCGCACCCCCCCCCCACCCAATTCCACGACAAAAGACTGTTAAGAGTCTTCTGGCGCTGTCTTTTTCTGTCTCTCTTTCCACACATCTTTCCTGTAGTCGCAACATGTTTCAGTTTCCCCCTTCTCATTACAATACCACAACTATCTCTTTCTGATTTCTGCAAATTTGTAATAAGTTGTCTTGAGTCTTCGAGCCTTGTCTTTTAAAACGTATTTGGCTGTCCAAGAAACTGTAAGTTTTTTTTCTGTAAAACCACATCTCCGAGGGATCAAGAAATTTTTTGGCTTGTTTATGTGCGTAAGATATCAATCTGGAGGCGAGGGGGACACTTGAAAATATGAGCATGATGATCATATTATTACAGTTCCCCCACTAACAACTGTTTGTGTTTCACTGACACAGAAGAGTATGCAACAATGGATTTCAACGAATGGCGGATTGCTACTTTCGCTTTCTCCTCCAGGGCTTTTATTTTGATTTTGCAGGTAAACAAAACCGTCTTGTGAAGTTGTTTGGTGTGAAATATAAGTTAGCCTGCCCCTTATACCATTGAAGACAGTAGATTGACCAGACTTCTAATATATTGCATGTAGTATGTTTTAGTTTTATAAATTGTTTCAATTTCACTGCCGGAGATGGTCATGGTGGCCGAACTTTTATAATAATAACACAACACAACAGTACAACACGTTTAAGTTTAAGAATAAGAACTCTAGGCACTCATGTAGAAGACACAGGTTCAACTCCTTGGTAAGGTTATGGATTATTTTGTGTGTTAGTGGTAAAAATAAAAACCTAACACTTGTACAGTTCGTGGCGACAACACTAGCAATGCGGCCTTAACTAAATCCACAGGCCAAAAGATCCCCTCTCTGTATCACAAATGGTTAGTCAAAATTGACTATCCTCCGAATAACGGGCACATATTATGGCGTCCAAAAATATACCCTAACAGGGCCTCAGTCACGTGTACATTGCAGACTTTCGCCACGGCCAAGAGTATCTCCCACGCTGCTACGCGCGGGGTGGAGTGGGGCTAAACTAGATGGCTGGGACTCACCGAGCAAATAAATTGAAGGAAGCTGCAGGAGATGTGGTAGCTGCTGCTCGTGAGTCCCAATCATCTAGTTTAGCCCCACTCCAGGCCGACTTAGCGGCATGGGAGATACTTTAGGCAGTGGTGGTAGTAGAAGGAAATGCGCAATTCAAGTCGCCGGAAGTCCGCAATGTACACGTGACTGAGGCCCTGTCAGAGTGTGTTTTTGGCCACCATAATATGTGCCTGTTATTCGGAGGATAGCCTCAAAATGTATATATTGTGTTTTTACTTTTGTACTTTTTACTTGTACATTTTAGTGACCGAAACTACACTAACAAATTTAGGCTATCCTCTGAATAATGGCCACATATTATGGTGGCCCAAAACAGGGCTCCAGTCACATGTAAATTGCGGACTTCCGGCGATTACCCAGCACCGCCGAGAGTATCTCCCGCGCTGCTACACGGGGCTAAACTAGATGGCTGGGACTCACGAGCAGGAGATGCGGAGGTTGCTGCTCGTGAGTCCCAGCCATCTAGTTTAGCCCCACTCTGCGCAAGTTAAAAACAGGAGTTAAAATGACAAAATTTATATGTTTGTTGTCAGTACCAGAAATTAAAACACTTATCAAGGGAAAATACAAGGAATAGTGAAGAGAAAAAAACCAACAGTAAACATCCACACGACCCCATCAACAGACTCAACAAAAAAGCAACATACAACATTTTCCATCTACGAACAGGACACATAAGCTCAACTACCACATGCATAAAATGACTATTGAACAGACTTCACAGTGTGTCAGTCAGACAGGACCACAAACACCTGAGCACATTCTGCAGACCTGCCCCTTCTACCTACAACTTCGAAAAGACACCTGGCCTTCAGATTAAAGTGTGCAGAGCAGGCTACGGGAAACCATGAAGGACCTGCTGCTGACATGCGAGTTGATTGAGGCAACCCACCTGATTGTCTGATCTGAGCATACGGAACCGAACGCAAAGAAGAAGATATTAATATATTTCAAATAGTTTGATATGCATAAAAAGCACCTCACAAGTTTTCTAGGGGGTGGAGAAGCCTCAAGGGAGGGTGTGTGTATGTGTGTGTGTGTGTGTGTGTGCGTGTGTGTGCGTAAATCCTTGTTTAAGTGCTTAATAATAATATGCTGAATGGGAAATATAAAGAATAATAAACTTGAAACTATTTGGTATGTATAAACCAAAAAAATATAACTTTTATTCTAGGCGGGAGTTGGGGGGGGGGGGGAGGGGGCACTTAGCCCTCTTACAAATTGGAGGGGGGGGGAGGTCTCATGGGGCCCTTGGTTTGTACAACATCAGCTCTCACCCACCTGAGACAGCAGACTACAACAAGATACCTGGTGTAGTAATAGTCAGGTTTTTTTGTTTTCTCTGGCGGTGCTCAATGGTGCGCACATTCTATAATCTTTTGAGCTCTACTGTAATAGATATTGTTTGACTACCGGCATCATTTTAGGCACTTTGTAGTGATTACCTGCACCTTTTTTAAACACCTTGTAGTGGGCACCGGCACATTTTTTTTAGGAGAAAAAAAACCTGGTAATAGGGTCTACATTTACAATAACTAATCTCTTTAAGTACTAAGCAGGTATTACTTCAACTTCTTCTGTTCTAAGAAGTTGTTACCTTAAGCAATCAGTGTTTATTCTCATCAGTCAGCAGATCACTATCGTTACAGCACACCGGAAAGTCTCTCCTATCTTTAGCCAATTTTTCAGCCCTATGTGCTTTCATAGCCAGTGAATCTTTATGTCTTGTATCCCCATTCACAGGGATCTGCCTCTGTCCCATTTTCCGGAAACTACACCCTCCATCGTCATTCTCTCCAGACCACCACATTCTTTAATATGGCCAAAATATTTTAGCTTTCGGGACAGGATGCTGTTTATGGGCCAGTTCTCCTCATTGCTCAGATCTTATAGGGTGTTTTTTCTCAGTCTTGGTCCATAGTTTTCTAAGAATGTTTCTGTAGCAGCATTTTTATTTGTTACGGACTGAGGACTGAAATAATAGCCCTGTTGGATGGGTGAGGTGATAGAAAAGATTGGCTCTCCTTGCAGATCCGGACGAGGGTTGGACGACTTAGTTCAGTTGAGTGGGAGTTCTCTCCCTTGGCCGCACTCGAAACAGTGAGCGGAAAAGTCACGAAACAAATGACATAATTACCTATCATCATACGGTTGCGTGTAAGGTTGCGTACGGTTGCTGTTAGGGTTGCGTAGTCATCATACGGTTGCGCGAAGGGTTGCGTAGTCATCATACGGTTTCGCGAAGGGTTGCCTAGTCATCATACGGCTGCGTGTAGGGTTATACCTATCATCATACGGTTGCGTGTAGGGCTGCGTACGGTGTGGGTTCGGGGTTAGGGTTTAGGGGTAGGGTTAGGTTTAGGGTTAGGGGTAGGGATTAGGGGTTAGGGTTAGGGGTCCAGCCCGCATCCAACCCTCGTCCGGATCTGCAAGGAGAGCCAAAAAATTGAGACTGAGATAATCAGTGTAACTAGATGTGACACTCACAAGTTCATAAAAATGTGTCATTGAAAAACAGCACACACACGGTTAGTTGCTTAGTACTAAATGAGGTAATAGATTTTAACAAGATATTTGGGATTCATTCTTCTTGGATTGGCATCCAAAGTGTGGCTCATCGGATCACTGTAATCTTAAATCTTTAGAAAAAGGTGTCCTGAAAAAGGGTGTGTAAAGAAAGGGAGGGGGCGATTCACTCCACTCTGTACATTTTATAAATTATCCATTTTTTTTTTATATTTCTACAGTGCCTGGCAAATACTTTGATACCTGACCATGATGCTAAAGTATTTAATCCACCAAAAGACAAGAGTAATGTTTTCTGGCCAGATTGGATTGTTGACTTCCTACTGAGTGGCCTGCGAAGATGGGATGCTGTGTACTTCACCCATATCATGCAGTTTGGATATACATATGAAAACTGTGTTGCATTTTTTCCATGCTACCCTCTCATTGCTGGCAGTATTTCATATTGTCTGCAGAAATTTGGAATTTTAAGTCCCGGTTCTTGGATATTACTGACTTCTGTGTTGTTAAATATAATACTGTTTATAGTAACTGCAGTACTACTGTACAGACTGGGAAAACATCTTATGAAAGTAGACATAGCATATTTTGGAGCGCTGATGTTCTGTATTAATCCAGCGAGCATATTTATGATTGCGCCATATTCTGAAACCCTGTACATGTTTTTGTTGCTGCTGGCTTTGCTGAAGCTTCAGGAAGGTGCAATGTTTACTGCGTCATTTTTCATTGGACTCAGTGTTTTCACAAGATCAAATGGATTAGTGGGAATTGGATTTGTGTTGCATTACATTGCTAAATCTCTGATTTTAAATTTACAAGCATTAGTTTTAGCAAGAAACTTGAAACTGTTTACATCTATATATTATAGTATATATATTTTACTGCAAGCTGTGACTAAAGCAATAGTTTGTTTTGTTTTAAGCATGGCGCCGTTTTTCATATATCAGTTTTACATTTACCAAAAGTTTTGCTTGCCATTAACTGTCAGAGATTCCCTGCCAGACAGTTTGATCAAATATGGAAGATCTCAGGGCTACCATCTGCTGGGGGATGAACCATCTCTCTGGTGCAAGGAATACCTACCATTGTCCTACTCTTACATACAGAAACATCACTGGGATGTTGGATTCCTCCATTACTACCAAATAAAACAAATACCAAACTTTCTTCTGGCCGCTCCAATCCTCATATTCAGTTTTGCAGCCTGCCGATATTTCTTGAAAATAAACCCACAGCCATATTATACACTGGGGCTGTATCCAGCACAAAAGTTGGTGTCACATTCAAACACGGACCAAAGAACAGAAATGTGACACTGGAGATATAGACAGAAGGTTGGCTTTAGACAGCACAGCCAGCGCCTTCATACAGGATAGCTGCATCAGTAAAGATGGGATGGCTGGAAATACTGTCGCTACACAAGACATTCTTGTCTATGTTTATCACCTGATGGCTCTCACGTTGTTTGGTTGTAGCTTTGTTCATATCCAGGTCAGTTTTTTCAATCTTAGTTTGCTAATATCGTCATAATGATTCCATTAAATTCTAGAAATTTGTTAACATTGTCGTAAGCGGATAATTGGCAAATCTTGTATGTGGAAAACCTTGTGTGGTTCACTGGGACTAAAAAGCAGCTGCCAGCACTTGTTGAGAGTCTTGAACAATGAGGTCAACAAAGAAGCCTAGGCCATTCACTGCCTGAGAACAGTGGACAGTAGAGGGAGATGATGAGCACAGTTCTTCATGCTGAACTGTTGCTGATAATAAAGACTGAAAGGACATACAGACAAGACAGATAGATACATGTGATCACAAGTCATCAGATGAGATGCGGGTGTCTGAATGACCTCCCTGGTAATGAGGGAAGACAATACAAGATGCAGAGTCAGTCTTTGTTAAATTTTCCTCCTTCTTCACGTTTACTGGCTGTAATCTCCTGTGGAAAGTTCTGGTTGTTTGTCTACTTCTGGACTCTAGTTCTATTACAGGATCTGTTTGCATGCACATCTGTTTTACAGATGTGACTCATTTGCAGATGGTTGGTTCCTTGCCTCTCAGGCAGATGCACTCTGATTTCAAAGGAACTCCTCATTTAGTCGACTCTCACAACATGCTTTTGTTTAGGCAGTGAGTCTGTTCTTGTTTTCCCCACAGTGGTGCTCCAGAACCCAAATGCCTTTTAAATTGATATTCACTTATGACTTCTTATCAAATGACATCATAACTTTCTTGAAATTTTTTTTTCAAGGGAGAATCATGGGTTAACTGGTTAAGCCATTTGCTTTGTACTTTGAAGCTTGTAGGTCGTTTCAGACTCCATGGTTTTGCCGGGCACATGCAAGAAAACTCTGGGTTGTTACTGTAACTATGGAGCATCTTGCTTTGTCTGATGCTGTTGTTGGGCAACCACTCTATAGAGAGAGAAAGACAGAGCTTTCTATATGGGGGTAACTAACACCTGGTGCACTGTAATCAATCCTCTTGCCTTTAAACACCCTCTTGTATGACTGCTTTGCAGTACTAGAGAAGTGTATACGTTTCGAAGCTCCCAAGAGCTGTGCTGACAATAGCCAAGTACAGATTGATTCTCCTATGCAAGGCAAGTCAAAGGATTTTAAAAAAAAAATGAGGCCCAATCCTTTTTGGATAAATCAAGACTTCCTTACCAAGCCCTCATTTGGACACCACAGGGGAAAAGATCTCGTGGAAGACCAAGGGAAACCCTACGTAGAACTATCATCAGGGAAGGCTCGCTCATGGGCCACTCAAACATCCAAGACCTACAACGGATTGCAACGGACCGCCATGCATGGAGAGTCGCGACCTCTGCCCTATGTGCCGCACTCGACACAAGAGGAAAGACTAATCCTTTTTGCCTGGTGAGTAAACAGAGGACAGTCGTAAGCTAGGGAGAACAACTCGAAAAGAATGTTTGTTGAAATAAAATGTTCTAGTCAACAGCTCAGCTGAGTTAAGAACTGAGATAACAGCACTCACATAAGTGCTGCTTTCTCATCTTCAGCAGCCAGCGTAGACAACCCATTGTTCAAACCTCAAACATATTCACTAAAGTTGTGAAGTATCAACAAAAGTAATTTTATGGCTGGGGGAGACCACAACATGGGGAACTGTATTAAAGGGTTGTGGCATTAGAAAAGTTGAGAGCACTTAAATAGAGGCTACATGACTCTGGTACAACATTGCTGAATAAATTTATTAACTTCTAAGTAGCAGCAGGGGTGGGGGCGGTCACTGTGGTGTGGTGGCTAGAAACTTGCCTGCGGATCAAAAGGTAATGGGTTCAGGTCTTGATGAGGCTGGACTTGTTTCAGAAATGACCTTGGCTCCCAGGTTGACCCAGCCTGAAATGGGCTCCAGGTAATGTCCTGGAAAGTAAAGGCGGCCGGGGTGACATTGACCACATCACTCATCAAGTGCCGAGTTGTCTATAAAATATAGGGCTAGCCCTATATGCCCAGTACGCCTGAA